ACCTGGCTGATTAACTCTCTTATCATTATAATATGTCCTTCTTAGTCTCTAGTAACAATTTTTTGTCTTAATGTCTACTTTAATAATACAGTCATTCTAAATCTCTTTTGGTTACAGTTTGACTGGTACATCTTTTTTCACGCTTTTATTTTCAACCTCTTTTTGTCTTTAAAGTCTCTCATAGACAGCATATAGTTGGATCTTGTTTTTAAATCAGCTAATTTTTTTTTGAGACATAGTTTTGTTCTTGTCGCCCAGTCTGGAATGCAATGGCATGATCTTGGCTCACTGCAACCTCTGCGTCTTGTGTTCAAGTGATTCTTCTGCCTCAGCCTCCCAAGTAGCTAGGGCAGTGCAGAAAGGAAATGTGGGTTGAGAGCCCCCACACAGAGTCCCTACTGGGGTACCACCTAGTGGAGCTGTGAGAAGAGGGCCACCATCCTCCAGACCCCAGAATGGTAGATCCACCAACAGCTTGCACCATGCACCTGGAAAAGACATAGACACTCAATGCCAGCCCATGAAAGCAGCTGGGAGGGAGGCTGTACCCTGCAAAACCACAGGAATGGAGCTGCCCAAGACCATGGGAACCCCCCTCTTACATCAGCATGATCTGCATGTGAGACATGGAGTCAAAGGAGATCATTTTGGAACTTTAAGATCTGACTGCCCTGCTGTATTTCAGACTTGCATGGGGCTTGTAGCCCCATTGTGTTGGCCAATTTCTTTCATTTGAAATGGGTGTATTTATCCAATGCCTGTACCCCATTGTATCTAGGAAGTAACTAGTAACTAGGTTACTTTTGATTTTACAGGCTCATAGGTGGAAGACCTTGACTTGTCTCAGATGATACTTTAGACGGTGGACTTTTTGAGTTAATCCTGATATGAGTTAAGACTTTGGCGGACTATTGGGAAGGCATGACTGGTTTTGCAATGTGAGGACATGAAATCCCTGGAGGGGCCGGGGCAGAATGATATGGTTTGGCTGTGCCTCCACCCAAATCTCATCTTGAATTCTCATGTGTTATGGGAGGGACCCTGTGGGAGGTAATTGAATCATGAGGGCAGGTCTTTCCCATGCTGCTCTCATGTTAGTGAATAAGTCTCATGAGATCTGATAATTTTATAAGGGTGAGTTTCTGTGCACAACCTCTCTCTTTTTGCCTGCTGCCATCCATTTAAGACATGACTTGCTCCTCCTTGCCCTCCATGATGATTGTGAGGCTTTCCCACCCATGTGGAACTTTAAGTCCATTAAACTTCTTTCTTTTGTAAATTGCCATATCTTGGGTATGTCTTTATCCGCATGAAAATGGACGAATACACATGTATTTGTATAGTTTCCAAAATTCTTCTTGTTATTGATTTCCAGTATGATTCTGTTGCAGTCAGAGAGGATGCTTAATATTATTTTAATTATTTTGAATATTTTAAGACTTGTTTTGTGACCTAACATATAGTCTATCCCTGAGAATAATCCATGTGCTCAGGAAAATAATGCGTATTCTGTAGCCATTGGATGAAATGTTTTGTAAATATCTACTAGATCCATTTGATATACAGTACAGATTAAGCCCAATGTTTATTTGTTGATTTTCTGTCTGGAAGAAAATGGAGTGGTGAAATCTCCAGTTACTATTGTATTGGAGTCTCACTCTTTAGCTCTGATAATATTTGCTTTATATTTCTGGGTGCTCCAGTATTGGGCACATGTATATTTCAAATTGTTATATTCTCTTGCTGATTTGAACCCTTTATCATTATATAGTAACCTTCTTTGTCTCTGATAGTTTTTGTCTTGAAATCTATTTTGTCTGATATAAGTATAGCTATTTTTGCTCTTTTTTGGTTTCCATTGGTGTGAAATATATTTTTCCAGCCCTTTATTTGCAGTCTATGTGTGTGTTTGTAGGTGAAGTGCATTTCTTGTAGGCAACAGATTAATGGGCCTAGTTTTATTTATTTTTAATCCATTCAGCTACTCTGTCTTCTGATTAGAGAGTTTAGTTCATTTACATTCCGTATTATTATTGATTAGTAATAATACACTTATTCCTGCCATTTTCTTATTTGTTTTCAGGTTGTTTTGTGGTCTTCTCTCCCTCCTTTCTTTCTTGTCTTCCTTTCAGTGAAGATTTTCTCTGGTGATATGATTTCATTTTTTGCTTTTTATTTTTTGTGTACTTATTGTATGTTTTTCAAATTGAGTTCACCATGAGGCTTGCAAATACTATCTTATAACTTATTATTTAAAACTGATAACAACTTAACACTGTTTGCATAAACAAAAAAGCCAAAAGAGAACTAATAGACGATGTCTTAACTTAATTCCCCTGCTTTTTAGATTTTGTTGTTGCTTTTTATACCTTACTGTACTGCCTATGTCTTAAAATGTTGTAGTTATTATTTTGGATTGGTTCATTGTTTATCTTTCTACTTAAGATAAAAGTAGTTTACACACCACAATTAGAGTGTTATTATGTTCTGTATTTTTCTGTGTATTATCACCAATGAGTTTTGTGCCTTTAGATACTTTCTTCTTGCTCGTTAAAATCCTTTTCTTTCTGATTGAAGTACTCCCTTTACCATTTCTTATAGGACAGGTCTGGCTGTTGATTAAATTACTCGGATTTTCTTTGTCTGGGAAAGTCTTTATTGCTCCTTCATGTTTGAAGTGCAATTTTGCTGGCTATACTATTCAAGGATAAAAGTTTATTCTTTTCAGCACTTTAAATATGTCATGCCACTCTTTTCTAGCATGTAAGGTTTTACACTAAAAAGTCTGCTGTCAGATGTACCAGAGCTTCATTACATGTTATTTGTTCTTGCTGCTTTTGGGATCTTTCTTCACCTTTGACCATTGGAGTTTGATTATTAAATGCCTTGAAGTAGTCTTGTTTGGGTTAAATCTGCTTGGTGTTCTATTACTTTCTTGTACTCGGATATAGATATCTTTCTAGGTTTTGAAAGTTCTCTGTTATTTTCCCTTTGAATAAATTTTCTATCCCTATCTTTTTCTTTACCTCCTCTTTAAGACCAATAACTCTCAGATTTTCCCTTTTGAAGCTATTTTCTAGATTCTGTAGGCATGCTTAATTGTTTTTTATTCTTTTTTCTTTTGTCTCTTCTATGTATTTTCAAATAGCCTATCTTCAGCCTCACTAATTCTTTCTTCTGTTTGATCAGTTCTGCTATTTAAAAAACTCTGATGCATTCTTCAGTGTGTCAATTGCATTTATCACTCCAGAATTTCTACTTGATTATTTTTAATTATTACAATCTCTTTGTTAAATTTATCTGACAGAATTCTGAATTCCTTCTCCGAGTTATCTTGAATTTCTCTGAGTTTCTTCAATATAACTATTTGGAATTCTGTCTGAATGGTCACATGTTTCTGTTTCTCCAGGATTGGTCCCACATGCCTTATTTACTTCTTTTGGTGAGATCACATTTTCCTGGATCATCTTAATACTTGCAGATCTTCTTCTGAGTCTGAGTATTGAAGAGTTAGGTATTTATTGTAATCGTCACAGTCTGGGCTTGTTTGTACCCATCTTTCTCGGGAAGGCTTTCCAGATATTTGAAAGGACTTAGGTTTTGTGACCTAAGCTGTATCTGCTTTAGAAGGCAGTAACACTGTGGTTCTCACAGACTCACAGAGGTACTTCCTTGATGTTCTTGGACAAGATCCAGAAGAATTCTCTGTATTACTAGGCAGAGATACTTCTTCTCTTCCTTTACTTTCTCCCAAACAAATAGAGTCTCTCTTTCTCAGTTCTGAGCCACCTGGAGCTGGGGATGGAGTGACACAAGCACCCCTGTGGCTGCCACCCTTAAGAATGACTAGCTCAGACCTAAAGCCAGAACAGTACTCAGTGTGGCCCAAGGCCTGCTGTAACCACTCCCTGGCTACCACCTATGTTCACTCAATGCTCTAGGGCTCTACAATCATCAGCTGGCAAAACCAGCCAGGCCTATGTCCTTCTCTTCAGGGCAACACATTCCCCCAGGCCCTGTGTGGGTCAGGGGTGCCATCCAGGTACCAAGAACTAGAGTGAAGCACCTTAGAAGTCTACCTGGTGTTCTATTGTGCTATTTTTGAATTATTTTCTTAGTGGGTGTATGTTAGCCAGGGTTCTCCAGATAAACAGAAACAGTGGGATATATAGAGATATGTAAGAGGATATTTATTATAGGGATTGACTCATGAAAATATGGAGGCCAAGAAGTCCAACGAAATGCCGTCTGCAGATTTCCTGGGAAACCAGGAAAGCCAGTGATATAATTTAATTCAAGTTCAAAGGCCTGAGAATTAGAGTACCTGATGACATAACTCCCAGTCCTGAAAACTTTAATCCTGGTGGGGTCTACATTGGTGTAACTCCATTTCCTAAGAACTTGAGTTGTGGAGGGGTTGGAAGTCCTAGAGTTTGAAGGCCCAAGGAAAGGTAGTTTTACTATCTGAGGGCAGGAGAAGACGAATGTCCCAATTCAAAAAGAGAGAGAAAATTAACCCTTCCTCTGCCTTTTTATTTGATTCAGGCCTTCAACAGATTAGATTATGTCCACCCACACTGATGAGGGTGGATCTTGTTTGCTCCGCCTATTAATTCAAATACTAACCTTGTCAAGTAACACCTTCACAGACACACCCATAAATAATACTTTACCAGCTATGTGGGTATTCCTCAGGCCAGTCAAGTTGACATATAAAATTAATCATCACAGGTTGCTGTTAGAATTACAACATCATAATTTATAACAATCTATTTCCATCACAGGTTGCTGTTAGAATTACAATATCATAATTTATAACACTCTATTTCAAGTTAATGCCAACTTAATTATAATAATATACACAATTTTGTTCCTATATAGCTCATCCCCTTTCCCCTCATTTTTGTTACTGTCATGCAAATTATAATATATAATTCCAAATCTAGATATTCTACTCTTTACTGATCATCTCCAGTACATCGTGTGCCCTTGAGTACAGGAAAAATATGAAATACTTTGCAAATTTAAGTCATCCTTGCACAAGGACCATACTAGTCTTCTCTGAATTGTTCTAATTTTGGTATATGTGTTACCGAATTGAGCACAATGTGATCTGATTTTACCATTACAAACTTCACTCTGACAGTGTGAAAAATGGATTAAAGAGGAGGCCAGTGTGAGGTGAGAAGACAGATACAAAATGTTGGAGTAAATAGATAAAAGATGAGAGTAGTCTAAACTAGAGTTCAATACTGAAGTGCTAGAGAACAGAGGCTGACAACAAATTTGAAAGATATTAAAGAGATAATATTAACTAGCTATGGTGACTAAATAATAGGGTTGAGGAAAATAGAGAAGGGCAAAATGTTTAGCTTTCTGCATCATGTAACTGAAGGAGCTATGGTTCTATTCATAGAAATAGATAATATTGAAACAGGAGCTTTGGAAGAAAATGCAACAAGCTCAATTTTAGACCTTTTGAATTTGCGGTATTTGTTGGATATCCAAATGCAGACTGGAGAAGATCAGTACAGAGTGGGATATCTAGATTTGAAACTAAAGTGAGATGTGAGTATCGTATAGATTTGAGTGATTAGTATGTAGATAGTGATGTAAGCCTTATCAGTTTATTAGAATGCCCAGTAAGAGTGAATATAGTAATAACAGAAGAAGATGAAGGATGGAATTCTAAGGAACAATCGCATTTGAGTTTGAGGAAAAGATTCCTCCCAAAAAAGAGAAAGAGAAGCCTAGATGTACCTGGGCAAGCAGGAGAGTGTGTTGTCATGAAAGCTGAGGGAAGAAAGTGTTTCCAGAATCAAGATGCCACAGAAAATAAGGACTACAATGTTTTCACTGGATTCAACAATAAAGACATTCATTAATAATGATCTTTAATAACATTAAAGATAACTGTAAATTATTTGCTGTTCTCTCTATCAAGAAGTGAAATCTATTTGCCTTCTGTTGAATCTGGACTGGATTGGACTCATTTTGACCAATGTGGCAGAAGTGAGGTTCTTAAATTTCTGAAGCTGAGCAGCTTCTATTTTCACAAGGTTGAAATTGTTCCTCTTGAAACACAGCCATCATGTCGTGAGAAGCCCACATGTAGAGAGGCCAGGAGGAGAAGGACTAACTTCTAGCTGAGTTCCCAACCAAGAGCCAACACCATCTGCCAGCCATGTGAATGAGCCATAGTGGATGTTCCGGCTCAGTCAAGCCTCCAGGTGACTGCAGTTCCATGCAGAACAGAGGAATTGTCCAACTGAGCCTTTTCAACCCGCAGAATCATGACAGATAATCAATGGTGTCTGTTGTTTTAAATGACTAAGTTTTGAGGTAGTATGTTACTCAGCAATTGACAACCTATTTTCCTACTATTTTGTAATGTCCATAAGAGCAGCTGTCCTGTTGGGGAACTGCAGGTGTGAATTGCAATGGGTTGAAGAGTGATTTGAAGGAGAGAAACTGGATACATCTACTTTAAGAAGTGGACTATGAAAGAGAGGAGCTCCTTAGAGTGGTATTGGAAGAATTTCTGTATTTGACGAAGGTTTTTAAATTTGTTTTCAATAGGGAAAATTTCAACGGTGTTTAAGAAGGGGTTAGGTGGTGCCTCACGCCTGTAATCTCAGCATTTTGAGAGGCTGAGGCAGGAGGACAGCTTGAGGCCAGGAGATGAAGACCAGCCTGGGAAACACAGTGAGACCTCATTTCTACAAGAAAAAGTCAAAAACATAGCCAGGCATGGTGGTGCATGCCTATAGTTCCAGCTATTTAGGAGATTAAGATGGGAGGGTCACATGAGCCTGGGAGGTCAAGGCTGCAGTGAGCCATGATTGCACCATTGCATTCCAGCCTGGGTGACAAAGTGAGACCCTGTCTCAAGAAAAGGAAAAAAAAAAGTGTTAGTTTAAGGAGAAAACATTGAAGATATAAGAGAGGTGGAGTGATGGAGCAAGGTTCCTGAGGAAATGGGGGAAAATGCTGTCTTATCCAGACATCCCCAGAAAAGATCTGATTGGCTTCATTAGATATGATCCAATATGGATGCCTGGATAGGCGAACTCTCATATCCTACCTCCTTGGCAATTACCCTATGGATGGCTGCCTCTGGCTCAGGCACTAATACATTTTCTAGTCATCTATGGGTAGAGTGTTTAGGTAGTATTGTTTAGGGTATTTCAGGCTACAATATAATAGAAGACATTTCTCAAAGTGGCTAAAACACACATCTGAAGTTTGAAGGTTGATTAATTTTGCAGCTCAACAGTATCATCAAAGTTCGAGGTTCTTTCTATCATTCTGCTCTTTGTCCTCGGACTTTTATCCTGTTCTCTTAGGTGGGCTTCCAACATTGTCTCAAGATGACTGCTGCAGTTCCAGGGGTTGTATCTAGAAGATTATGTCAAGGGACAGAAATAAGAAGTTTCTCCATGCAAGTCCCTTTCCCAGAAGTCTTCTAGCAAACTACTCAGAAGTTTAGAATCTCATTATAAGCCCAGTCAATATCAAGGGTGATTTTAGATAGATTATTTAAACTTTCTGAACTTCCATTTTCTCATCTGTAAGGTGGGTAGTATAGTATCTATCTCAAGATTACCATAAAGAATAAAAGAGAGAGTTTTATATTAAGTGCATCACCTAGTGTTTGGCCCACATGTACCCCATCCTCCATCCTATGTCTACAATTCATTTTCTTTTTTTTTTTTTTTTTTGAGACGGAGTTTCGCTCTTGTTGCCCAGGCTGGAGTGCAATGGCGCGATCTCGGCTCACTGCAACCTCCGCCTCCTGGGTTCAGGCAATTCTCCTGCCTCAACCTCCTGAGTAGCTGGGATTGCAGGCATGTGCCACCATGCCCAGCTGATTTTTTTTTTTTTTTTTTTTGTATTTTTAGTAGAGACGGGGTTTCACCATGTTGACCAGGCTGGTCTCGATCTCTTGACCTCGTGATCCACCCGCCTCGGCCTCCCAAAGTGCTGGGATTACAGGCGTGAGCCACCGCGCCCGGCCTACAATTCATTTTCAATGAAACATACTTGAGGTTCTCTCCTCCCATTTAAAAGACTACACTTGGCTTAAAATAAAATTGATTCATGAGAACACATGGATACAGAGGGGAACATCGTGCACTGGGGCTTCTCAGGGGGTGGGGAACTAGGGGAGGGACAGAATTAGGAGAAATACCTAATATGGATGACAGGTTGATGGGTGCAGCAAACCACCATGGCTGTGTATACCTATGTAACAAACGTGCACATTCTGCACATGTATCCCAGAACTTGAAGTATAATAAAAAAATGCAATTGGTGCATCTTCTGGTGCTGGAGTTTACTTTCCTGGAACTATTCAGAAGAGAGAAAATAACAACTGGATGTCTGTTAGAAAAGAAAAAGGATGGATGGACAAATGAGAATGTCAGCTCCATGGGGGCACCAGTGTGCAAGAAACTGTTCTGGTTGTCTCATTCTTGGGGTGTGAAAGCTCCTGGGTTTGAGGAAGAACTGAAGTGTCAGAGTTTCCTGTCTGGGAAAAAGGGAGAAATTCAGTGCACAGGGTGGGGATCCAGGGCACAGATGGAGTAGAGGTGCTAATGTATGTGTTGGGTAACAGAGGTGAACATTCAGAATGATTTATTCTTATCCCAAGAATATTTTGCATAGGATGGCCCTGGGCTTCATCACAGACCTGAGATTGAGCCAAAATAATAAATCATAAAGTTCCCTGGGCTCCAAAGAGAATATAACATGAATACTGAATAGTATTTGCGTTATCATGTAACTAAGGCCAAAAAAAAAAAAAAATACCTTGCATTCTCACATGCCTTGTGCTTTCTCTAGAAACAAATTTCCTATCTAGAATCTCCCTTTGCTTATCTCAATAGACACAGTGCCATCTACTGAAAATAAAGCACCAATAGCCATGGCACCCTGAGGGATTCCCAGGAGAGCCCCCCTCTCTGTGGGCTCCCTATCTCACCCACCTCCCAGATGGACTGGAGGGAGTAGGCGGAATCCACAGGCTGTTCTCCTGTCACAAACTGTAATGCATCTGTTCCCTGGTGCTTTCCGTGAGCAGCGAGAGTAAGACATTCCTGAAGGGACCTAGGGAGCCTGGCAAGGCACTTACAGTGTAAGTGAAAGCTCTTTTCGGCTGCCCTCTTGCCTTCAACCAAGTATAAACTGAAGCTATTTTATATAGAGGAGGCCTACTTTTTATATTCAATCATAACAAGGATGAATGACATGTCTTCCATTGGGTAATTAGGAGATGTTTCTTTCCACACAATAGTGTAGCAATGTGTTTAAGTACGTTTATCCTTCTGTGAAACTTTGAATGGGTACAATGGATAAGAGGTTAATAACAGAATCCTGGACCATTATCAAGACAGGGATGTCTTTGGGAAATGTGGATAACTGAGGTTGCTGTGAAATTCATTTAGGCCAAAGTCCACATTTTAGTTCATTATGCCCTCCCCAAGTGGCAATGTCTCTTGGTCTCATACATGGAGAAATGGAGAAACAAAAGAAGACTCTGATTTAGCCACTACAGTTAATGATAAAATAGAAAATGGAAGCTTTAAAATACACAGCCTTCTACAGGACATACTCAATTCTTGCCCTCACCACCTCTCACTTTACCATTTCTTCTCCCAAGGAATCTTGGCTCAGCATGTCAGGAAGCTCTTCAGGGACCATTTATAATTTAAAGCTCTGGTTTGAATTGATTCTGATTTGGCTTTTGGTAGTCAGATCTGGCATCTCTTCCATTTGCCCCTCCAAATCTGGCCCCATTTTCTCTATTGCATTTACTGCTCATTCTTTCTGCTGTCTTTTTATTAGATTTTCCAAAGCAAAACTCCCTGCAGTTAAGTCTGTGGTCTGGTAATTTATCACAAATATTCTTGAAATTGCCTCATTAAAAGGGGCATTTGAAGCTGAAACCTAAGCGTCTGTTACCATGGTAACCACCAACAACTATTTAGAACAGCCTGCTTAAACCAGAGGGGTAGAGAATTGCTGTTGGCAGAGATTGAAGGTAGGTAACTGAACACCACTGGGCAGGGGAAAAGGCCTGTAGATTCTTATGTGGAATTCTCAA